TTCTAAGTGATTTATTCCTAATTTGAGATACCTTAACAATTCCCATGAAATATATTTTCTAATTTTTGATAAAGAGAAAACTGTAAGTTTAATTTATATAATTTCTAATCTAAAAATCAATAATTATAACGAAAACATAGTACCCATGCTTACATACTAAGAAAGATGGGAAAGTTACTTTACAACTATTCTAAAGTATTATTTTTCAGGTAAGTTATCCAAATACTCTTCTCTCCTATCTAAAAGTGACATCAGTACTAAATATTCTTAACCCCAAATACTATATACAAGGCATAATTATATACAACCACACATGTTTATGTACAACAAAAGAAAGTTTATAAAACTCAGCAACAAAATGCCTCTTTAATTATAAAGTCAGAATTTGCAAAAGAAAATATAATCAGGTATTGACAACAGAATTTTTCACTTAAATATATTTTTCTTCATGAAGTGAAAATAAAGCTGGTTTTCTAGGAAGAGCTAAAAGCCATTGACACTTCTAATGATATGGAAAATGCCCTGAGCTCTATGATTTTCAAGAAAATAAAGTAGGAAGAGGCTGTTTTGCTAACCAGCTCTTCACTGGCCTTTCTTCCCCACCACTCTCTCCATAAAAGCAACCTCAACCAATGAAAGAAAGCATCTTTTACAAGTAGCTCCCTACAGCATCCTAGCTCCTTGAGTGCTTACCATAGTCTGATTTCTGGACAGCTGACCCAAAGTTTGTTGATTTTACTGATCCTCAGAAAGCCACTGACTGGCTAAAGTCTTAATGGTGAATACAGTCAAAAAAATCAGATGCCCCTGCCTTACTGTACAGAATGAGGAGATGGACAACACAGTTGCGTTTGATGCACTGTGGTGAGACATATGAGGTATCTTCTTTGTCTTCAATCAGCCACATTTGGGCTGAGTAGCTCTATTACATCTTCAAAAAACTGAGCTCCAGTTCTTGATGGAGACAGAGGAAGGTCATTGAGGAGGTGTTTCAGCTCAAGAGCTAAGTGAAAAATGTCTTTTGATTCAGTTCTGCTTGTGGATAGCAGTCATCTTCTGGATGGAAGAGGGAGTGAGATGACCTAGAGTCTTGAATTGGTGGATCTGCAGGAACAGAAACTAAATACAGTGGAGACCTCTTAACTGAGTAACACCACGAGATGGATTTCCTGACAATGTGTCATATTAAACTGACTACAAGTTTAAACGTGCAGTGGGAGTGATCATGCACCTCTTTCCAAATGAAATGCATCTGTACCATTTTATGAATATATCCTTCCTTAATCACTACGGCGACAATTCTTAAGAAGATATGTATTAAAAAAGTACAGCAATTCAAACAATCTGTACCTTTTGTGAGTCTAATACCCTCACTTTCAAGTCCATTCTTTCATATTTTCCATATACACAAACAAGTCTGCCCACTATATCTAGGATCAGGAGTAATGTGTCAGCTTTAATTTCAGATGAATCTTTTGTTTCCCTCCCCCCTAAGAAATGGAATTTAGGTAAATACTAAATTCAGACTTGAATGATTTATCTGCCTGAAAATTCCAAAGGCTGGTAGTATCTGAACTTATTCCTATTTACCAAAATAAGGAGAGTATATGTCATAAAGTATAGCAATCTTAATAGTTACCCGAAACTTCCCTCAATCTTAAAAAAGCCTATTACCAGATCACCATGAATTTAAATTTTCTATATAAAAGTAAGAATTCTGATTAATATTTGGTTACTCACTTCTACTCAAATTTAAGTATATGCTCCCAAAATTATTAGGCCAGCAAATTAAGGACTGTTAGCCAAATACAACCTACTACTTACTTTTTAAAATATTTCGTTCTACCGGAAGACAACCATATTTTTGGCTATTTTTTGAGACAGGGTCACATTATGGCGAGGAACTATATAGCCCAGGCTGGTCTCAAATCAATGATCTTCCTCCTGCCACAGCCTCCCGTGTACTGGAATTATAGTGTGCGGGATTATGGGCGCCTGCCACCACTTCTGGCCAACTCTTTTTGATAGATGGTTCTTTCATGTTGGAAAAGCAGAAAAAGTGCTTGCAGCAAGAGCTGTAAAACCTAAAACTCCTGATTTAGATTTTTTTTGTTTTGTTTTGTTTTTTAAGACAGGGTTTCTTTGTGTAGCCCTGGTTGTCATAAAACTTGCTCTGTAAACCAGGCTGGCCTTGAACTCACAGAGACCCACCTGCCTCTGCCTCCCCAAGTGCTGGGATTAAAGGAGTGCGCCACCACTTCCCGGCTTTGATAATTTTTAAAGCATATTTAACATAATTTACACTTTAAACTGTTTTAAAGTAGAAAAAAGTAGAATTGAAATTAGATATAGATGACATTACAAACTGAACACAAACCTAAAATAAATCCCAAGTGGATACTTTATCTCACCTTTATTCAGAGCAAGAAGCTAATTTTTAAACACACAGAGAGCGAGAGAGAAAAAAAATGCGTGCACGCAATTCACACATACACATACATACACACACGAGGGGGGTACTATGGAATAGATATATTTAAGAAGTACAAGTAAATGTCATGGATGTGCTATGTAAATTTCACCCCAGTAAGTTATTTTAAAATAAGAGTATATACAGTATTTATGGGTTTCCACCTTTATGTGGGCCATATTACATTACAGTGGTTAGATATGTAAGTTACATCTTACCTAATAATGTGGTTTCTCCAAAATCTCTTAGCTCATCCCAGACCCTTGTGTATATTCTTCTTTGCCAGTAGATGGAGACAACACCACTGAAAGTTTAAAAGACATCATTCCCTGTTTAAAGGGAGCTTGCTGGTCTGAAAAAAACTGGGGGGAGCCCTAAGCCAAAGACTCCATTTTTAAAAAGCTACGTTAAAACCAGAAATCCAAGGAAATGTACCCAATATTAACTATGGATATCTTAAAAAATTTAGTAGAGGGGAATTAAATATGTCCTTCATAAAGTAAATAAATCATAATACTAAAAATGCAATCATTTCTACAGCTTCTAAAACTCAAACTTCCTGCCCACTGCTATTTAGATGGCTGGGTCACTTCACTCAGTTTCAGAAAGTGTGACTCAAAATATATGTGGAAAAGGTTTCAGAATTCTATAAAGGTAAGCATAATATATTGCATAGCTTTTCTAAGTATTACTTAACACATACAGTTATAAGCCTTTTATTCAAACAAAGACAATTATCCAGATCCACAGGAAAATAACTTTTAAAAAGAAAAGGCAGAAATGGTAGAAGCAGTAAGAAAAATTTCTATATATACCCGTACTGAAAGGAGCCAAATGGAATCTACTTCTCACATTTATTTCACTACTCAAAAAAAAAAAAAAAAAAAAAAAAAAACCCAAAAAAAAAAAAAAAAAAAAAAAACTTCCCACAAAACCCCCAGAAGCCATTTGTAAGAAATAAATTTCAAATCAGGAAATTTAAGAATTATCAAGTTTTACTTCTGAAATCCAAAGGCCTAAAACCAGTTTTCAAAGTCGTTCAAAATAAATAGCTACAAAATACCAAGCCACAAAGAACAACAAACAAGGCTACTGCACTCAAACAGAACACCAAGTTATTGCTATATTACGTATGTTGGCCTTTAAGACTCCAATCCCTTAACGGGGCTAATCACGAGCAATCTGTCTGGTAGGGAATAGTTCATTCAGGAACAAAAACAAAAACGAAACAAAAACCACCTTAAACGAAGTAATAATCCAAAATAAAAAAATTTAAGTATGTTTTCCTCTTGCCCTAATAATGTATCAGGAGTAATATCAGATTACTTTAAAAGGAAATGAATATACTACTCAGATATTATAATACCCATCTAGATTAAATTAGACCAAATATCACTAGTAAAATAAATCCTCACTACTCATGACTATACTACATAAAAGCGTTTGGCAAAGTAGCTCGAAACTACTTCTACTTAACTCTGAAATCTTTTTTTTTTAATTTATTTATTATGTATACAATATTCTGTCTGTGTATATGCCTGCAGGCCAGAAGAAGGCACCAGACCCCATTACAGATGGCTGTGAGCCACCATGTGGTTGCTGGGAATTGAACTCAGGACCTCTGGAAGAGCAGGCAGTGCTCTTAACCTCTGAGCCTTTCTCCAGCCCCTTAACTCTGAAATCTTATGACTCCTGCCAGACAACAACTAAAATCTATCAAAAACTATAAGCATTCGCACGTGCCCATCAACAGTACATACAAAACATACAAATGCCTACAACTTTATAAAACCCAAGGTGGCTTGGCTTCCTCTTGACACATTTGACCTTTTCCAATCTTTCAGCAGCTGGTATATATATAAAGATCACACTAATGCAAATGCAAACACACAAAAGAATTTTGCAATTTTCCAAATATATTCATTGATTAATTAAGCCAGTCCTGTGACAGGAAATTTTAACAAAAATATGGCCAACACAGATAATCCACAGTAAAATCTTAACAGTATTTATATTTTGCACTCTAACCTGTCCATCAACAAAGATGAGAGAAATGCAGGTACCTAAATTCTTTATATATAAAAGTAGCAACTACAGGAGTCCTTGAATTCTGTGATTATAAATTAGGTACACTGAACTGTAATTTACAGATAACATTACTTTAGTAAGTAAAAATGACCAACAAGGAATGAACATTCTTTGTATTAATTGGATTTAGGGGGGAAAATAAAGGCAAAACCCCCAGGTATTAACCTGGCAAGTTCTTCCTGGGGATCTGTGTCAGTGTTCCTTGCCTCCACCTGCTGGCAAAGAGTATGAAACTAGTAGAGATCACAAGTTAGCAAAGTTAGAATTTTTTGGTTACAAATTAATGTTGTTCATATAACTCTCTAGCATTATGCTATTTTGTGTTAATCACTATTAAAATATAGATGAAAACTATTAATAATCTACAAAAAGAATGCTGAACATCATAAAAATTTTGTCTTGGCTCGGAATGTTACCTAATAGTTTAAAAAGTCTTAATTACCTGATAAATGACATCTTGGAAAAGGACTGGAAAAGTAAGTGCTGCATCTTCTAGCTCATTCAGACTACAGTGCACTAGTGTTTCATCCTTAAAACAAACACAGAGTAAAACAAAACATTAAAAGAAACTTCAAAGGACAGTTATGTGGTCACGATCACCCTTCACAGGTGGAATTTATATGTCGCATCATGTGACACAGCATATTAGGACAGGACTACTCCTATAGTTGATTCTCAGGTCTAGATTTTAGAGCATAAACAGCACCACGATCCTTGGGAACTCTATTCCTTATGAGTTACAGACTTAGTGGCTGTGATAAACTTCTCAGGCACCTCTGCAGCATATTCAAGTTTGAAAACCTTTGCTCTGAGCTCTGCAGCTCAACTTTTTGTTAAAGACCATTTGTTACTCCTTTTGTACTTTAACTTCCTTAGAAAATAATCATTTAGTTTTTTGTGTTTTTTTTTTTTTAAAAAGACTTATTTATTTATTATGTATACAGTGTTCTGACTGCATGTGTCCCTGCAAGCCAGAAGGCACCAGATTCTATTATGAATGGTTATGGGCCACCATGTAGTTGCTGGGAATTGAACTCAGGACCTCTGAAAGAGTAGTCAGTGCTCTTAATTGCTGAGCCATCTCTCCAGCCCACCATTTAGTTTTTAAAAGTCTCACTATATAGTCTAGGCTATCTTCAAATTCATGATCTCCTCCTCTTGTATCACCTCTTGAGTGCTGACATTACAGAAGCATGTGCCATCACCATCTGTTTATACTAACTATATTTTATTGAATTAGCTCATGCAAGTCTAGAATCTAATTATTTGTATTTTCTCATATAAAACATCTTCAAACTTTTATAAGATTATTAATTTAGGATTTGATGTCATAGTATCTGAGTATATTTCATCTACCTTGATTAGACAGCTAATGAAAACTTAGGATATCAAATCCTGATTTCTTATTGAAAATAAGAGAGCTGCTCAAGAAAAATATCTAAGTTAATACATGTCTTAAAACCTGAATGTTAAAAAGGACTGGGAATACAACTGACTTGGAAGAGTGTTTCTTCCCACGCACCAAAGCCTCCGTTCGATTAGATCCCCAGGGCTATATAATCAGATAAGGGGCACTGCCTATTATCCTCAACACTTGGGAGATGGAAGCAGAAAATCAGGAATCCAAGCTCACCCTTGGCTATATAAGTTCAAGGATGGCTTAGGATATCTCAAAAATAAAATGTACTGCTAATAACCACCCTCAAATTTTTCAACAAGCTTAGTTAAGCTCAACTAAAATAGCCAGGCAGTGTTGGCACAAGCCTTTCATCTCAGAACTCAAGAGGCAAGAGCAGATAGATCTCTGAATTGCAGGCCAGCATGGTGACAGAGATAGTTCAAGGACAAGGGCTACACAGAGAAATCCTGTCTCAAAAAAACTAAAATAAATAAATAAATAAATAAAAAACAAAAACCAAACAAAAGTAAAAGAACTGGCTTTACATCAAGATAAGTTTACTGAGAATTAAATAACACTTCTAATTATGGGATACCAGGAACAAGTTAAGCAATAAATTGCTTTCCAGCACATTAAATACATTTTTTGATAAGAACATAAAACTGTAAGTAGGTGGTAAATGTAAAAAAATAAAAATAAAAATTCACCCCCCCACCCCGGAAACGGGTTGGTAAAAATGAGATATTCAATTCAAACTTTTTCTGGTACCCAAAAGGTATTAAGACACTCAGAAATGTAGATTTTTTTTCCCAGATAGAAGTCTTGATAAACTTTATATATTAAAAAAAGATTTATTTATTATGTATATAGTGTTCTGCCTGGATGTGTGCCTGCAGGCCAGAGAGGGCACCAGATCTCATTATGGGTAGTTGTAAGCCACCATGTGGTTTTTGGGATTTGAACTCAGGACCTCTGGAAGAATAGCCAGTGCTCTTAACCGCTGTGCCATCTCTCCAGCCCAGACCTGCTACTCTTATGTCTCAGCCTCTTCCATAGTTCAGGCTACAAAGTACATAAAGTTATATTCTATACCAAGTACGCAAACTAGAAATTTTTAAATCACATTGAGAAAAAAAGGTTGATTGGTAATTAAATAAATCTATTTTATTGGTAATTAAATAATCTACTTTATCGGTAATTAAATGAACTGAAAACAAAAACAGAATAGGGACACAGTTCAGCTGGAAATTTCAGCATGCAAAAAATCCCTAACATCAAACACACCAGGCACAGTGGCACATCGCAGACCTCAGATCCCAGTACTTGGGAGGAAAAAGTTGAAGATTCAGAAGTTCAAAATCATCCTCAGCTACATGTGGAGTTTTAGGCCAGTCCAGGTCACATGAGAACTTTTCTTAAGGGGGGAAGGGGTAGAACAAAACACATTCTAATAGTTAACTTATTGAAGCCAAATTATATTTGGACCTTCAGGAAAAGAAAATTATAAAAATAAAAGGAAATCTAAATTCTAGACATCATTTTAATAGGATCAAACTGGAAATTGCAGGGGTTTTACGGCACTGGCGAGATACTCAGTGATTAGAAACCTTGCTAGTCTTGCAGAAGTTTTGGGTTCAGTTACAGCTATCCACAGCTCCAGTTCCAGGTGATCCAGAACCTTCTTCTGGCCTCCTGTGGCACCAGACATTTACTGGTACAGAGAGATACATGCAGGCAAAATATTCATATACAAATATATGATGTGGGATGTCCTTCTGTATATGTGTTGCTTTTATTGGTTAATGAAAGAAGCTGCTTTGGCCTATAGCAAGGCAGAATATAGCGAGGCTGGAGGAGATATAGAGAGAGGGTAGGCAGAGTCAGGGAGACTGTAGCTGCCAAAGGAGATGGTCACTGGAACCTTGCCTGATAAGCCACAGCCTCATGGCGATACACAGAATAATAGAAATGGTTTATTTTAAGATATAAGAGCTAGCCAATAAGAAGTCTGAGCTAATAGGCCAAGTAGTGTTATATAGTTTCTATGTGATTATTCGGGTCTGGGAAGCCAGGAAACAGGAAATGAACGAGCAGTCTCTGCCTACAAACATACATAAATCTTGTTTTAAAAGAGAGACAGAGCCAGGTGGATCTCTGAGTTCGAGGTCAGCCTGGTCTTCCAAGTGAGTGCCAGGACAGGCTACAAAGCTATACGAGAGCCGGAAGGTGGTGGCACACTCATTTAATTCCAGCACTCGGGAGGCAGAGGCCGGCAGATCTCTGTGAGTTCGAGGCCAGATTGGTCTACCAAGAGCTAGTTCCAGGACAGGCTCTAAAGTTACAGAGAAACCCTGTCTCGAAAAACAATAAAAACAAAACAAACAACAACAACAAAGCTATACGAGAAGCCTGTCTCGAAACAAACAAACAAACAAAAAACCAGAGAGAGATAATTCAGGCAGAGGATATAATACAGTGTATATCACCTGTCTTGCATCCCTGGATCAATTACCAACTTCTCAAAAAAATAAACATCAAATAAAATTAGAAACAAATCACAGGATCTCAAGAATGTGGAGGAAAAACTCATTTAAATACAAAAGTAAAAGTCTAATTGATTTTCAAAATATACCAGATTCCAACCAAACTAGTCTAATGCTAGGATCCGTAGAGTCCCTAACATTTATTCACTTAAATAAAAGCATTTCAAACACTCAGAACATATTTACAGTAAGTATGGTGACTCCTTATTTGCTTGTATTCTTTACAGCACTTTGGACTGATACTTTAAGAGAATTTAACCCTTATTCTTTGTACCTGTAAAGATAACACACTCACCAAATCTAAGACCAGGGAGAACTCTGGTGTGCTTCTCGTTTTCAAAGGAAGAGCAGGTTTCCTATTTAGTTGTTCTTCTGTCAGAGGCGGAACATGTTTGATGAAATAATAGCTATAAATCAAATTTTAAGAAAATTTCAACACTTCTATGTTCCATACATATCAAACACTACTGAATTTATACTAGCTTGGGATGTGCTCAGCTATACAGCATTTGCCTACAAGGTTCAAGACCTTGGGTTCAATCCCTACAGTACAAAGTAAAACAAAAGCAGCCTGTGATGGCTGGTCTTTATTATCTACCCCAATGGATTATTACATAGGCACAAAAGGAATTGCTATGCTACTCAATTTTAAATAGTTGTAACTAGACTCAAACACATCTCAACTGATCCCAATAAGAACAATCAATATGCAGCCGGGCGGTGGTGGCGCACGCCTTTAATCCCAGCACTTGGGAGGCAGAGGCAGGCAGATCTCTGTGAGTTCGAGACCAGCCTGGTCTACAAGAGCTAGTTCCAGGACAGGCTCTAAAACCACAGAGAAACCCTGNGATCTTTCAGGTGCATCTGCCCCCCCGGATATGAAGTGAAAAGCGAGAGCTGCATTGGTGAGGCTTGATTTCATTCTGAGGTCACAGGTGTGCGGAAGAATAAGGCTTGGTAACGGTAAAGGCTGCGTGGGAACCTCAAACCCAGCCCCTGCGTGCCTGCTGGCCCCGGGAGTTGACCGTGCCTGCATCGATCTTACTGTAGCGTCAGAAATGGTTGTGTTGTACATTGTTGGCAGCGAGAACTTAAGAGATGCGGGCTTGCCGGGCGGTGGTGGCGCACGCCTTTAATCCCAGCACTCGGGAGGCAGAGGCAGGCAGATCTCTGTGAGTTCGAGACCAGCCTGGTCTACAAGAGCTAGTTCCAGGACAGGCTCTAAAACCACAGAGAAACCCTGTCTCGAAAAACCAAAACAAAACAAAACAAAAAAATCAATACCAATCAATATGGCCGGGCTGTGGTGGGACACGCCTTTAATCCCAGCACTCAGGAGGCAGAGGCAGGTGGATCTTTGTGAGTTCAAGACCAGCCTGGTCTGTAAGAGCTAGAGAAACCCTGCCTCCAAAAATCAAAATAAACAACAACAACAAAAAAAGAATAATCAATATGTTTTTGCCTACAAGAAATAAGTTTGGTTTTTATTCTATTTATTCTATGTCTCATCTCTTGTAGACCAAAGAAATAGGTGTTTATTCCTCTAGAGCAGCAGTTCTCAACCTGCGGGACATCTCCCCTTTGGGGTCGAATGACCCTTTCACAGGTGTCACATATCAGATATTTACTTTAGAATTCCTAACAGTAGCAAAACTAGTTATGAAATTGCAACCTATTAATTTTATGGTTGGGGGTCACCACAACATGAGGAACTGGACTGAAAGGCAGCAACGCTAAGAAGGTTGAGAACCACTGCTCTAGAAAAATCCAGACTTCGGGACTCTGAATTCTTGGACATTATTTTCTGCATGCTGATGGTTGTGGAAATGTTTTCCCTGAAAATAAGTTACTTTGAGCTAGGTGGTCGTGGTGGCGCATGCCTTTAATCCCAGCACTCAGGAGGCAGAGTCAGGTGAGTTTACAGCACAGCCAGCCTGGTCTACAGAGTAAGTTCCATGACAGCCAGGGCTACATAGTGAAACCCTGTCATGAAAAACCAAAAACCAAAAACTAAAAGGCATTTAATATACCTAGACTACCAAACACAATACTAAGAAAATATAAAGCCTAAATGAAGAATGCAGAGCATCAGCTGTCTGCCCTCGTGAGGACATGGGAATGAAGAGGAAAATGGAATTCTCTCCCCAACATCATGAGAGAGTATCCTGTTAGGTAGGTACTCCTTACTTGGAAAGAAGTTGAAACTAAACATTCAAAGTAAATTTTCTACTGGACAAACATTTTTCAATTTCATCATGAAGCTGAAAATTGTTCAATATAGAAAATTTAATAACCAGAAAACAACTCACGGGTCAAATACTTCCCAGTCTTCCTCATAGGTGGCCTCTGCATGGGCTGACGAGTAACCACTTTCTGGAGTTACTGGTGCTATTTAGGAAGACAAAGAGGAAAGATTACTTTCACTTCTCTGAAGCGTCCCACAAAGTACACATTTTTACTGTTTCTATACAAGAGCTTCTTGAGGTTCTGTGTATTTTAGGTTAAAGATAAAATAATTCATAAAGATCACTTAAAAACAATTCAGTAACACATTCAACTCTACACCCAAAGGAAATTAATTACTGCTATCGATGACATGGCAAACTACAGCATGGATAGAATTTAAATGTCTATCAGCTAAGAGGAGATCTATTATTAGAAAGTAATACTCAGCAACAACAACAACAACAACAAAAAGAGCAAAAAATCTTGTGCTAATTAGTATTTTGTCAATTCACCAAAAGCTAGAGTCCTTTTAGAAGGTAAAACCTCATTAAGAAAAGGCCTCCGGGGCTATAGTTATGTCTCAGTGGTTAAGAGCAGTGGCTGCTCTTCCAGGGGACCCAGGTTTAATTCCCAGTACCCATATTGGCAAAGAACACTGTAACTCCAGTTCCAGGGAATCTGACACCCTCACATAGACATACAAGCAGATAAAACACCAATGTACATAAAACTAAGGAGAGAGAGAGAGAGAGAAGAAAGAAAGAAAGAAAGAAAGAAAGAAAGAAAGAAAGAAAGAAAGAAAGAGAAAGAAAGAGGGAGGGAGGGAGGGAGGGAGGGAGGGAGGGAGGGAGGGAGGAAGGGAGGAAGGAAGGAAGGAAGGAAGGAAGGAAGGAAGGAAGGAAGGAAGGAAGGAAGGAAGGAAGGAAGGAAGAAAAAAAAGCCTACATCAGATTGGCCTGCAGGCAAGGCTGTGGATATTTTCTTGATTGACAATTGGTGTAGGAATGTCCAGCCCACTCCTAAGAAGGTTTATATAAAAAACAAGTTGAATGAACCATGAGGAGCAAGCCAATAAGCAAAGTTCCTCTATGATCTCTGCTTCAGGTCCTGTCACGAGTTCCCAATAAGCTATGAAATAAAATAAACCCTTTCTTAAATTGCTTTGTTTGTTTGCTTTGTTTTTCAAGATAGGTTCTCTGTGTTGCTTTGGCTGTCCTGGAACTCACTCTATAGACCAAGCTGGCCTCCAACTCACAGAGATCTGCCTGCCTCTGCCTCCTGAGTACTGAGATTAAAGGTGTGCGCCACCACCACCTGGCTTGTTTTTGTTCATGACATTTATCACAGCAATAAAAAGCAAACCAGAACAATTCATTTCCAATTGGACAGTATATACATGCAGTAGTACAAAGACAGCAAGCCATGTACATACAGGTGTTCAATCAATACCTGCTGACAACAAGCCAAATATAGTTGTAAAATCTAAAACCCACTAACATTCTAAGTAATCCACTAATCCCCAGACATTCAGAACAGAGATGCAACTTGAGCACTGTGTTAAGTAACCTGAGTCAGTTGCAAAGAAGAGCACGAGTTCACCATGTGGCGGTTAGGAGAGGAGAGGATGATCAACCGGCACTAAGTATCTCAGTTTCAAAAAGAAGTTCTCATGCGCTATTGTACATGAGATATAATAATGCATTAAACATTTTAAAAAGCTAGGGGGAAAAAACACTGTTTATCATGAAGAAATGTTATGTATGAAGAGATAAACAGGTTTAGCCTAACTTAAATACTATAAATTATACATGTAAACTAAAACATTACATAGCAGATACCTCTCCTTCCCATGTGTTTGTATTGTCCTATTTTGTTTTGTGACATTGTCTTGCTATGTAGCCCAGGCTAGCCTCAAATTACCAATTCTCCTGTTTGGGCTTCCTAAGTGCTGGGATCACAAGAATGCTCCACCACCCCTAGCTTCTATTTCTCACTCTTTCTTTTTTAGATCTATTTATCTATATAACTGTCTTATCTACATGTATGTCTGTGCACCACGGGGCCTTGAAGAGGTCAGAAGAGGGTGTTGGTTATCCTAGAACTGGAGATACAAATGGTTGTAAGCCTGAACCTAGTGTCCTCAACAAGGGAAACAAGTATTCCTAACCAACAACTACTAAGTCATCTCTTCCTCCCCCACAGCTCTTACTGTAGAAGACAAGGCCTCACTACGTAACTCAAGTTGGCCTCAAACTCATGAGATCCTTCAAGCATTGGCAATATGTTTAATTTTTCTGTTGTGACCAAAATCATAAAGGCAGAGAGAAAAAAAGAATAAGACAACAAAACAGGAAGAAAAAAAAAAACCCTTGAAGAAAAGAAACCCTAAAGAAAGAATATATGTCCAGAAATTTCAAAGTTACCCATGATTGTAAAAATTTAAGAAAAGAGCCGGGTAGTGATGATGACACACACTTTTAATCCCAGCACTCGGGAGGCAGAGACAGGCGGATCTCCTTGATTTTGAGGCCAGCCTGGTCTACAAAGCAAGTTCTAAGATACACTCCAATGCTACAAAGAAACCCTGTCTCAAAAAAACCACCCCAAAATAACAAACAAAACAAAAGTTAAGAAAAGGTTGGGGGCTGAGGAGACGGCGCAGCAGTAAATAGCACCATGTGTATTTAAAAATGACCTGGAGGGGCTGGAGATATGGCTCAGTGGTTAAGAGCACTGACTGCTCTTCCAGAGGACCCGGGTTCAATTCCCAGCACCCACATGGCAGCTCACAACTGTCTGAAGATCCAGTTGCAGGGGATCTGACACATTCACACCAATGCACATAAAATAAAGTTAAATAAACCATAAAATATTTTAAAAAAAAAATAAAAATGACCTGGAGTCAGTCCCCAGCTCCCACGTGGTGTCTTATAATTTACAATTCACTGTAACTCCAGTTCTGGGGACTTGATGCTTGCCCACTGCTGGCCTCTACAGGAACCAGTAATACATAGTACACAGACATACATGCAGGCAAAAACACCCATACACAAAACCAAAGGAATTAAAAATAAAAATAAACAAATAAAAATGGTTTAAGAAGGCCTGGCAATGGGGGTGCACGCCCAGCACTCGGAGGTAGAGGCAGGTGGGTCTCTGTGAGTTTGAGGCCAGCCTGGTCTACATAGTGAGTTTCAGGGCAGGCTCCAAAGCTACAGAAAACCCTGTCTCGAGAAACCAGTAGAAAAAAAAAATCCAGAAGCAATTTTATTTTGTATTCCATGGTTCATTCTATTGGAGCCAAGGACACGTCAAGTGACAGCATCAGAAACAACTTTCTAAAATGGCTAGAGAAGGCAGTGAAGCTCACAAGGTAAACAAGTAATATCTGAGATAAAAGAGAGAATTCAATATAATTATTAAATTCCAGCACTGTGGGTGTGTGCCACCAAGCCTAGCTATTTATCTACTTTTAATTCCTTATTTTTGAGATGAGGAGTGTAAAGGCTTGATTAACTGTTTGAAATTGTCTGAAGCTTAAATAAGTAGTCCAAAGTTATAAAGCCAAGGAAACAATAGAGCAAGCCTCCAGTATTTCTGACATCTTTGGCTATATTCTCCAAGTTAAAACAAGCAGCACTTTATCATTACTATTGATTTTATTTTTTGACTGTTTTTCCCCACTTTGTTCTTCAAAACAGGGTTTCACTGTGTAGCCTTGGCTGGCCTTGCACTCACAGAGATCTACCTGCCTCTGCCTCCCATGTGTGGCACAACTGCCTAGCCTATTTATTTTAATTTTGAAATAAGGTCTCTCTGTAGCCCTGGTTGTCCTGGAACTCATTAAGTAGATCAGGCTGGCCTTGATCTCAAAACAGAGACCCACCTACCTCTGCCTCGTTTAAAAGATAAATAAAAGTCACTTCTGTCTATCTTTTCATAGCATTCCAGAATAACAATGATGTGCATTTGCTACTACGCTATCATAATTTTTCTCTATATTTGGTTCTTTAATTCAACTGTAAAAAGTTCAGAGGCAGCCGCCGGCCAGTGGAGGAACACACCTTTAATCCCAGCACTTTGGAGGCAGCCTGATCTATTCAGGATAGCCAGAGCTACATAATGAGACCCAAAAATAAACAAATAAAAAATGGCAGAACAAGCCGGGCAGTGGTGGTACACGCCTTTAATCCCAGCACTCGGGAGGCAGAGGCAGGCGGATCTCTGTGAGTTCGAGGCCAGCCTGGTCTACAAGAGCTAGTTCCAGGACAGGAACCAAAAAGCTATAGAGAAACCCTGTCTCGGGAAAAAAAAANGGGAAAAAAAAAAAAAAAAAAAGGGCAGAACATAATTTCATCTTGTACTTTTTTAAAAAATTTTACTTATTATGTATATAGTATTCTGCCTGCATGTAACCCTGGAGACCAGAAGAGGGCACCAAATCTCACTGCAGATAGTTGTGAGCCACCATGTGATTGCTGGGAATTGAACTCAGGACCTTTGGAAGAGCAAGCAAAGCTCTTAACCACTGAGCCATCTCTCCAGCCCCTCATCTTGTATTTTTTATAAACATGTATCACAGTAAGTAATAAATTCAAATATCACGTGTTCCACATTTCAATGGCAACTAGCACAGGAATGTAACAATGATAGAACTTTGTAAAGATCTAAGATTAAGCTGCAAAGTCTGGCATAGGGGAAGATATATTCTGGGCAAGGTAGCCTCCATTTATGAATCAAACAAATCTAAAGGTATGAGATTGCCTTTCTCTACACTGGGACTTTAGTCTTAAGGACCTAAGGCTATTATGTATAATGACAGAATTCGGGGACAAAATTTGTTCAGCCTTTTTAACTTCAAGGAATAAAAACTTAACCATTCAATCTAATCATTTAAGAAAAAATATTAAATTCTGTGTTTTTGTAACTATTCAGAAGATGTGTCAAAGGGGGTATTTTATTCACCAGTAAGAGGTGGGATATCGCGGGTAACTGTTTCTTCTGCTTCTTCTAAACCATTATTTATCGATGGCCTCACTTGAACTGCTTGACTTGAGTAAGCTGCTCCATTAGCTGATGTTGTGCTGGTAGTGATTTCATCCACCTGTTCCATATCAAGTTGCTTTACTATCTCCTCAGCTTCCACAGCCTGTCCCGGGGAATCCGAGCCTGACGTTCCTGAAATTGTCCATAAGTAAACTCTAAATCACTTTAAAGCACAAATATTAGAAAAGCTAAATATAATCAACACTACAATTTATTTAAATGATAACCCATAAAAAAGCAAAACCGAGGATACCACTGTTTGAAATATCTATAAAAATCCCAATAAACAATGGGGAATAAAGATTACTACAGGCACCTGTCCTTGTTTTTTTTAGTACTAGGTACTGAACCTAGGAATTCATCACACACTAGCCAAGCCAAGCCCTCTGCCACTGAGCTATAGCCCTAGACTTCTTTCACTCTCTGAGGCAAGGTATCATTGAGTACTCCAGTAAGAGTCTGAACATTCAATCCTCCTGCCTCCGCCTCCACAGCAGTTTTGGATTACAGGTTGTGTCACCAGGAATGGCTATACTAATATTTATGAACTAAGTTTTCCTTAACTTCTCAAATAGTTCAGAAACACTTCATAAGTCAAACAACAACCACAATTTAGAACTTTCCATTAAAGTACTGCGTGTGAGGCATCTGATAAACATTCATCACCCCCAAACAGCTCTCCATCTTTCCAGTTCAAATACACTAACATTCTAGCCACAGAGGACAACTAAATTCTCAAGTTATCCGAGAAGGGGCTAAATGTTGCCCTAACCATGATTAATCTTTTTATTAAAAGACTCAAGATTAATTTTTCTTTTTAAATTTTTCGTGACAGGGTTTCTCTGTAGCTTTGGATCCTGTCCTGGAACTAGCTCTTATAGATCAGGTGGCCTCGAACTCACAGAGATCCGCCTGCCTCTGTCTCCCAAGTGCTGGGACAAAAGGCGTATGCCACCACTGCCGAGCTAAAAAATGATTTTTACTTACCATTTTTATTTGCTGGTGAAAAAAAGTTGAAGACAGGAGAAAATATGGTCCCCAGCAATGTAGTCCTTGGTGGGCTACCTGCAGAAGGGTTATCTTCTAATTTCCCATTTTGTTTTATATGTTGATTTGTCATTTCATAACTACCAGCTTCTAAGAAAGAAACAGAGAAGAAAGTAATGTCTAGAAACACTGCATTTTCAGGTTATGTGCTGTAAATAATTTTTAATGTATTTACATTAAAATGTATTTCATGTAGACTAACATTAATGTTCACAAGTGCTTATTAAAGAACTCCTGAGGCAAAATCCTTAAAAATCAAACTGTTTTATCTACTTTCAATGCTCTAACTATTAACACTCACTTGTTTAGGTGGAAGCTCCACTTTGTCCCCACCCCTCTCTTTCCTGACCCCACCTTCAGAAAGGCCATCAAGCAGTGGTTCCTCTCTGAGATGCTCAAGACCAAGCTTACAGGGTATTTAAGAGGGGAAGGAGTTTGAGTGTGTGTGAGAGTGTGTGTGAGAGTATGTGTGTGTCTCGGACCTGCCATGTGATTTCTGCTTTCGTCCCCAAGAATCACCCAGGGGTGCTTTGCTTATTAAACCTGGACTTTTAACTTGGCCTGATCTGATTTATTGCATCAGGAGAGAAACCCAATATTGGGGTACAGAAACCTTTCATCACTGAGTTTTTTCAAAGGTGATTTGCATCTAAAATGAAATAAACTGAAAGGTTTCCGATCAGCAGAAAATGAAGAAAATCCTTGTAAGCAAGCAAATAAATTACCAATTCTAACACTCAGACAGAAGACTCCTGTTGTTTATATTTTGGGACATTAGCTATGTTTCAGAAAACTTTTTTTGACATCTACTTCTAGTAAATGACTGCTAATGAATATAGTTAGATCCACAAACAAGTGTTTTATATAATTTCAACTAAATTGTCATAATGTTGATGCGTATCCCTTTTCTTGGTGTTGGAAACTGAACAAGCTATCCAAGCACCCTACTACTGTGGTAATTCCTCCTAGCTCCAATTCATAAATATTGTAGAGTAAGTAATATAAATTTGGTATTCTGCCTGTACTCATTTTAATCCAAAGAAAAAAATTGTAGAAAAATAATTTTTAATTTTACTTGATGCTTTAAACTAATTCTCAGTACAAAAATAGACTATAAAAACAAAGCAAGGGGCTGGAGAGATGACTCAGCAGTTAAGAAAACTGACTGCCCCTACAGGTCTTGAGTTCAATTCCCAGCAACCACATGGTGGTGGCTCACAACCATCTATAGTGGGATCTGATGCCCTCTTAGGGCATAAAGGTGTACACAGCACTCACACATATAAATAAATCTTTTCTCTTTTTTTTTTTAAAAGGCAAAAACTGTACTAAATGTTTTATTGTTGCTTTTTGAGTTAGTATTTTGATTTGTTGCCTAGCCTGGCCTTGATGTCTCAATCCTCTTGCCTTTTGAGTTCTAGGATTATAGGCAAAGGCCACTATGCATGTTTTCAAAACAAAGGGTCATGGCAGGTGTGGAGGGACTTTTGGTTACAGCTAAAGGAAAGATAGCATCAAATCATCAACAAACCTCCATTGACTGGACTTTTCCTTCTTACTCGAGACAACTGCTTGTTAGGCTTTTCTCCAGCTCTTGGTGTTGATGAAATCAAATTATTATCTATATCACGTTCAATTCTACTCCGTTTCGAAGGATTTTCTCTCTCTTCCTTAAGATACAACAGAAAAAAAATTCACTGAGCATAATTATTCTGCCTTTCAATTTAAATGAAACATATAAGACACAATATATTTTTCTCATGCTTTTCAAATCATGAAGAAACAAAATGCAATTAACAATGAAGATAGACAGTAATGTTAAAGTGTTAATGTAGTTATACTTCACAATTATAAGTACAGCATCCCCAGAACAAGTTTTCTAAGGCTCCTAAATTTTCTATGCTCCTGAAACATTGAATTTTACAATATGCTCTGGATTACTGACCAGCTTTATTATTTATCTCATTCATCTAAGACTCTTCACAGAACACACAGTAACAGTAATTCAGACCTGGTGAACAGACCTATAAACACCATTACTTGAGAGGCTATGCAGGACAGCCAATTCAAGGTCAGCCCAAGATATTTGGTAAGACCTCAACTTAAGAAAAACCACAGCTAGGCAATGGTAGTGCAAACTTTTAATCCCAGCACTAGGGAGGTAGAGTGATATGGCTAGGTGGAGAGAGGTATGTAAGAGGTATATAAGTTATGAGGAGACAAGAGCTCATTGCAGCCTGCAGTCGTTTTGAGGACAGGATTGCCCCTTTGTCTGAGCCTTGGCAGAGGTAAGAACTCTCTAGTGGCTGGCTGCTTTGCTTTTCTGATCTTCAGCTTGAACCCCAGTATCTGTTTCTGGGTTTTTATTATTCGTGCTACACAAATCTGTCTCAACAAGACAAACAAAGAGTTGGGGCTGTTGCTCAGTGCTTATTTAGCATGAATAAGGCCCTGGCTTTGTTCTCCAGCAGCCAAAGCAGGTGCTATGACAGGTGTTTGTATCTCAGCACGCTGCCAGCAGTTTGGAGGTAGACGCAGGAGGGTCAGGAGTTCGGGGTCATCCTCTGATACATAAAGCGGCATGAAACTTAGAGGAAGGAAAAAGAAGAAAAGATTACCTACTCATTATTTATTATGGTCCTGGGCCAGTTAAGATGCCTTAATAGGCAAAGGTTCCTGCTGTCAACCCGAGTTGGAGCCGTACGACTCTCATGGTTGTGAGGTCCTGACCTTCACACATGTGTTTTGGCATATGCACACCCATACATTACGTGTACATAATAAATAAAAAGTAATAAAAGTATTTATTATGGTACTATCAGTTATTTCATTCTAAGGATTACAATATTACTATCCATGTCAGGTGTGGTGCACATCTTTGATATCTGCACTCGGGACACAGATGGATCTCTTTGTGTTCAAGGCTAGCCTAATCTACACAGAGTTCTAGGATAGCTAAGGCTACAGGAAAACCCTGAATTGAAAAACCAACCAAACAAACAAACAAATAATCTTACTATCCAAACCCTAATTTGAAACATTTCTTCAAGTTTCTTCTTAGTTTCTTTTAGTAGAGAATAGTAGAAATGCTGAATGCTAGGCATATATAATGTAGTAGACAGAGCAGAAAACATATAAATGCAACATGCATGGAGAAGTGCTTTTTACTTTGGAAAGCATCGTGCATGATACATGCTTTTAATCCCAACACTCAGGAGACAGAAGCAGGCAGATCTCTGGGAGTTTCTGGGCAGCCTGATTTATATAGAGTTCCAGGTAGTCCTGGACTTTTGGTGAAACTCTGATCCAAAACAAAAATGATCTAATAATGTTTTTCAGATCAAGGGACATAAGTCCAACAGTGAATCATGAAATTAATTTATAGTTTTATGATCATCTTTAAAAGAAATGACAGAATGAAGCCGGGCGGTGGTGGCGCATGCCTTTAATCCAGCACTCAGAAGGCAGAGGCAGGCGGATCTCTCTGAGTTTGAGGACAGACTGGTCTACAAGAGCTAGTTCCAGGACTGCTAGGATTGTTACACAGAGAAACCCTGTCTCTAAAAACCAAAAGAGTTCCAGGACAGCCAGGGCTGTTACACAGAGAAACCCTGCTTCTGCTTGGGTGTGGGGGAAGGGAGGGAGTCTTCAAAAAAAAAAATTAAATTAAAAAGAATTTGTTAGCTATAACCATATTTATCACTATGAATAAGCCAAGAAACTGATTATTATCTTTCAAAAATACTTGCCCCAAGAAACACAGAATAAATCCATTAACAGCCATAACAAAATCTACATTATAAATAATAAGTTTCTGAGACTGATTTTCCACTTTGTATCATCTAGTCTGAAAACGATTCTGAGACCAAGCACTTGGCATCGACCCCAATTTCCCTGACACTTAGAAGAGTAACTGACTTCCTTAAGTTGCCTATGAGAAACCCATAATATCAATGTAGAACACATCTAAGTCATTTTTTCTTTTAATAATTTTGTTTCTGCTGCAGTTTTTAATAATTTTGTTCCTGGTATACCCACTGTTCATCTTTACTATGCTAAATCTGTTTTCTTTAATAATTCAAAAGAATGAAGAAAATCCTCTTTTGCTTTCCACAATACTATGCTGGAAAACAGAAGGCTAGTGGTACAGTGGCACAATTATAATCCCAACACTCAGGAAGTTAGCCTGGGCTACATAGCAAATACCTCTCAAAAATACAAAGCAACCATGACAGAAAGCTATCATTAGTTCTGTGGAATGTTTGTTTTGAACTTTCATTCATTTCACATGCAATATAAAACCAAAATGTGTATAACCCTTAAAATGAGCTCTATCAATATCAACTTCTATATGCTTAGAGAAAATAACCTAAGCATGATTTTTTTAAAATATTTAGTTATTATGTATACTGTGTTCTGCCTGTACATCTGCCTGCAGGCCAGAAGGGGACACCAGATCTCATTACAGATGGTTGTGAGGCCACCATGTGGTTGCTGGGAATTGAACTCAGGACCTTTGGAAGAGCAGGCAATGCTCTTAACCACTGAGCCATCTCTCCAGCTTCCAACAGTTGTGAGCTGCCATGTGGGTGCTGGGACTTGAACCCGGGTCCTCTAGAAGAGCAGTCAGTGCTTTTAACCACTGAGCCATCTCATCAGTCCCAGCATGATTTTTTTATGCAGGTGTGAGGCTAAAGTATTACCTTGGGCGTGCTTCCTTTAATGAATTTTTTAATTGAGGACAATAAGCCAGTTTCATTCTTTGATGGTTTTTCTCCTCCCGAAGGTAAGCTATCATCAACCTCTGAGTATTTCCTTTTTGCTCTGGCAGTGCGCTGTGTTTGGATTGGACTGGATTGCTGAGAAGCCTTCCGTGTTCTCAGCTTCATCTTTTATGGGTGCCACATGTAAACCTGTAAGAATAAAAAAATAACACAAATTACCCAATATGCCCAGTTAACTTACACAATAAAATCTACTTCTTTAAAAGAGCCCAGGTTTCTAAGAGGAAGTGAAAAGCACTGTATTTTATATGTAATCTACCAAGTAAACTCAACAACCTGTTGATATTGCATCCTATAAGAGAATGTAGAGTAATACCAAAGGGGGTACACAATCTTTCTAACACTGTGCTTACCCTTACCTATGCCAAAATTATGTTAAGTCATCATTTACTCTACAAATATTTATTAAGCAGTTAAACACACTTGAGATCCCAAGCTAGGTAAGCACTGAGACAACAGTAAACAATGTAGGGAAGGGTTTTGTCCTTTTGACCTTAAGATATATTAGGGGTAAAACCTGTCATTTGAAGAATGAATTTCATAAATATTATATTTATGAAACCAATAGCAATGTAAGAGTTGAAAGAGAGGCTGGATCACTTTGATAAGAGTTCAGTCTTATCACACATAATAAAACTAGATTTATGGGCGGATGTGTGAATTAATGCTACAACATGAGAGGTCCCAGGTTCTGCTTCCAGCTACACATATACAAATATACATAATTAAAAAGAAATTTTGGAGAGATGGCTCAGCAATTAAGAGCACTTGTTGCTCTTCCAGAGAACCCAGGTTTGATTTTCTCACCTACAATGGAGGCTCACAACAGTCTGGTCAAGTTCCAGGGGACCCGACACCCTCTTTAGGACTCTCCAAGTACCAGCACCTTCATGGTACTCAGATACACATGTAGGTAGGCAAAACACAAATTCAAAAAAAATTTTTAGAAAGAAAGAAAAAGGAACAATGTTGTTAAATGAACATACTTGTAAGACAACCCATAAAATAAATACACACACACACAAAAAAAAAAATCCCAAATCCCAAATCTGGTGTTGGGGAGACTTAGGAAATGGCTTGGAGATAAAAAACCCTTGCCTCTTCAAAGCCTGCTTAAAACATCTTTAATCTCAGTACTCAGAGGCAGGCAGTTCTGTAAGAGCAGGAGGCTAGCCTGGGCTACAGGAGAGCCTGTCTCAAAAAAGAATAAATCAGACAACAAAATTAAAAATTTTAATTGTGTACCAAGGACGCTAATATACAAAGTCAAAACGTAACCCAAGAGCCAGTGAGCTGGATCAATGGGTAAACACAGTTTGAATTTAATCCTCAGGACCCACATGGTGGGGATATTAGAGGCCCATAAACTGTCCTCCAACCTTGCATATCATGGGCATGCATATGAATTGTGTATATATATGAAGAAAATATGTACAAATCATTCATCTTAAGGAATTGGTATCCAGACTACATAAAGGAACCCCGTCAAGAGACTAGAAATTGACTAGATTCAAAAAGAAACACCGGCAACAGACAAGGTAACCAAGAACTGAGGCCAGCCTAGAGAGTCACCCAGCTTTAAGGGTCTTAAGAGAAAAATGCAATCCAGGACCAAGTAAAGCACTGTTTTCTTTCTTTACTTTCAATCTGGCCAGGCTGATCCTTTCCTTGAACTAAATCAGAAGACAATATGAAGGGGGGGGAGGGGAAGACTTATTAAAACTGGAATCCAAGAAAGGACTATAACCAATTCTGCTTAAAGTTCTGCTGTAACAGAATTCTGCCTCCGTTACAGAAAGCTGATAATTAAGTTGCCGCAGCCCAACACCAACAACAGTTGAAAATTTGGGTGAATCACAAAAGAGATTTTTCTTGTAACCATAGTACTAAGGACTTGCAGTAACTAAGAAATCTCAATCCAAGAAAATGCCAGGTAGTGGTGGTGGTGGTGGTGGTGGTGGTACACACAGTTGATCCCATCACTTGGGGAGGCAGAGGCAGGCTAACCTTCATGAGTTCAAGGACAGTCAGGGCTATTAGAGAAACCCTGTCTCGAAAAAACTAACCCAACGTGTGTGTGTGTGTGTGTGTGTGTGTGTGTGTGTGTGTGTGTGATTTTTAAACTTTTCTTTAGATTTACTGGAGTTATGGACGGTTGTGAGCCACCACACGGGTGCTGGGAATCATACCCAGGACCTTTGCAAGAGCAACAAATGCTCTTGACCACTGAGCTATCTCTGTCCTTAAAACTGTTAGCAGACTGAATGCACGTGGGCTAGCATGAGCACACAGTATATATCTGTGGTGCTGAAGCAACCTCTAGTGTAGGAAATAGAGTCCAAACCAGATTCTCTCTCCTAAGGTACTAAACTGTGAAGGCTCTGAAGCCACAAGTCCAGCTGACCCCAAAGACACAAGAGAAGCTATCATTAAGGATAAGAAAAGGATGGAAGATGTTCACAACTGCCACTAGGATAGCATGCACCAAGTAAAATGAAGGCAAAGAATTAAATAAACAAAAGTCCAGAGCTGATCAGGAAAACTGAGATGCTTTCCCATCTTTCAGCTAGGATTCTGAGCAACAAGGGAACTTAATTAAGCCAATGATGCACAAAGGAACCCTCTGCAACAAAACTGAAACTCAACTCTTGACTAGGCTAACACAAATGCCTTCAATTACAAGTCCATAAATCCAATTTTCCAAATATACTCTACCAGCAGTTACTTTCTATTCATAATATTCAGTATTCAGTAAAATAATCTCAAAGCTAGAAAGGTGGCAAGTTGAGTAGAAGCACTTGCTACACAAACCTAGCAACCTGAGTTCAAACCTCGGAGCCCACATAAAGGTGAAAGGAGAGTTGCCCTCTGGCCTCTACATGCCCTGTGGCATGCTCCCCTAACACACACACACTCACACACACTCTCACACACACATACCAGCAACAAATGCAACAAACTATCCACAAACAAACAAACAAACAAACCGGAAAAAATAAGGCTGGGGATGGAATTTTGGTTCAGGGGCAGAACACTGACTTAGCATGCATAAGGTCCTAGGTTGTCTCTAGAATTATAAAATAGAGGGGAGGGAGAGTAAATACAACCAGAAGTTGACTTTTTAAGAACAGACCAGTAAATTGATAAACTTATAGCAAGAATAAAAAAAGAGGATACCAATATTGGGAATGAAAACTTGAAAATAACAGACTGTAGACTCAGAAAGAATTATGGAGCATTCCAAACATCTCTACATTCACCAATTCAGGTAGAATGGACAAATTCCTCAAAATGTGAATCACAAGCAGGGAAATGGTCATGCTTAGTTTTAATAAACGTAGTACTAATGAACGAAAATGATAAAAATGAGAATAGTTAAGTCCAAAAACTTGAGACATATAAATCACTTTTGGGAGTGGGGTGGTTTAAGACAGGGTTTCTCTGTGTAGCTTTAGAGCTTGTCCTGGAACTCACTCTGTAGACCAGGCCGGGCTCAACTCACAGAGATCTGCCTGCCTCTGCCTCCTGGGTTAAAGGTTGTGAATAAAGGCGTGCAACACCACCGTCCAGCAGCACTCTTTTTTTTTAACATTCCAACCAGATCTCACTCAGGATTTTTTTTTTAAATTTATTTAACTTTATTTTACATGCTCTTGGTGTGAAGGTGTCAGAGCTCCTGGAACTGGAGTTACAGACAGTTTTGAGTACCATGTGGGTGCTGGGAATTGAATCCAAGTCCTCAGGAACAACAGCTACTGCTCTAAACTGCTGAACCATCTCTCTAGCCCCTCATTCAGGATTATGACAACTAAAAACTGAGCAGTAAGTTTGTTCTGTAGTTACTTGATGCCCAGGTAAGCAGATAAGAGAGGAGGGGTGTTGGTGCTGGAGAAAGTCTTCCAAAGATTCACCATAAACAACAACATTGGGCCGGGCAATGGTGGCACACGCCTTTAATCCCAGCACTCGGGAGACAGAGGCAGGCGGATCTCTGGGAGTTCGAGACCAGCCTGGTCTACAGAGCTAGTTCCAGGACAGGCTCCAAAGCCACAGAGAAACCCTGTCTCGAAAAACCAAAAAAAAAAAAAAAAAAAAAAAAAAAAAAAAAAAAAAAAAAAAAAAAAAAAAAAAAAAAAAAAAAAACCACCACCACCAACAAAAAAACCAACATTAATTCTACAAGTTTTCTAAACTACCATCTTAAATTCCAGACTCACACCTAACTACCATGTTTGGCACTTCAAACTCAACTTACACAAAACTGAATTCATTCTTATCCCATTCCATCCCAAAATATCTCCCTCCTGTTGTATATTTTTCTCCTATAGTCACCCATATAGCCTATCAATCAAGAAATCCAAACTCCACCACCCAGCTAGTTGTGACACCCTGCCCTTACCCCTACAGTCAATTACCAAATTCTGATTTTTAACCTCTAAAATTAATTTTCCAGTCTTTCCCTTTAAAAAAATCTATCCTCTGAACTACAGAAATGTGCCTATTCCTCTTACCTAGTTTCTCATCAACTGCTTTCCAATATAAACTAAATTCACTGGTAAATATGTACTGCAGTGTGTGTGTGGTGCAAATACAAAGAGGTGTTCATGTGTGTTGATGTTTCTGTGTGGAAGACAGAAGTAGACATCAGATGCCTTCCTCAGTCTTTCTACAGAACTTGGAGCGCACAATCAGCACCAGAAATCCACCTGTCTTACTTCCCCAAAGAAGCTTTCCAGTCAGTCTTTCTTCGTTGTTTTTTGCTGTTTTTCTCTGTACTGCAGTACACTCTGGGCTCTCTACCCACACTTCTGTCCTCTTTACCACAAATATTATTTCAACTAATTATCTCATTGTCTAAAACTCAGCCCAAGTATCACAGAACCAATAAAAGAACCACCCCCACACCCATAAACTTCTGTAAAGCCTGAGGTCATCTCTCCTACCAAATTACCCTAAAACAATCTCCTTCAATAGATTCAATTGCACTTGACAAAAGTGAGTCCCGATGGCCAGGACAGGAGATGTATGAACCCTTGGCTAAGCATGCAGAGGCACTGCAACAATTAAAAACTCTTTAAGGCAAAGATCTCTAACAACCTGACACACACAACCAGTCTCCCCTGAACTCA